TTTTTTTTGGCAGAACCGGGGATTGAACTCAGATCCTTGTGTTTGCCAGTCAAGCACTTATCCTACTGAGCCATCTCCCCAGTCCCTTCATTTCCATTTTGCAGTAAAATTCACCAGTGAGACTTTACTGCAGGTATATTTCAGTCATTGAATTTTCATTCATTTCTTTGCTGTATCTCCTGAGAATATTTCTCTCTCTCTCTCTCTCTCTTTTTTTTTTTTTTGGTATTTTTTATGGGAGGGTCTACAGAGTGTTCAGAGTCTTACTACCAGATCCGACTTGTAGTGATTCTCCTGTTTACAGCCTCCCAAGTCCTGGGATTATAGGGGCGCCACCACTCCGGGTCTCAACCACCATCTCAGCGTGCCCCAGGGGCGGGGCCAGCAAGGCAGGCCCAGGGATCAAACCCTGGCTCCCTGCACATGTGTGCAGGTGCTTTAATCCACTGAGCTATTTGGCTGGACCTCTGTTGTTCTTACTTTGATACTTTTATAAAAACTGTTTTAATGGCTTCGTCATTAAAGGTCAATCCTGAGGCTTTTTGCCTTTTCTTTTCCAATGCAGTATTTCCTTTTTGTTTTCATTTGTTTCATTTTGTGTACAGTACTTAGCAACACTGGATTTTCTCAACATTTGGAATATCATTTTTGATTAAGAATCCTATTTAAATTCTATGAGAAGTTGATAGTTTTAAAATCAGGATTTCAAAAGCTGGCTGGCTTCAGGTGTGTACTTGCAATGTACCTTCTGGGGATTAATTTTAATGATAGTTCTGGTTTCAAAACATTGCCATTTTTATTCCTGTGTAGCCCTGAAGTACCACCCAGTGGCCAGTGTGGGATTCGCATCAGGCACTACAGCTGGTATGTAGCTCACTCGAAGTGTGTTTGGGGCGCATGTCCATAGTGAGGGCACCCCCGGAAGCTCATAAATTACTTTATGGGGCTGCTTGGACAATCTCTGTACCTCGATCTCCTGGATATTTTCAGTCGTGTGCGGTTTTCTTTTCTCCCTTCTGATCCTCCAGCAAGAACACTGAAGTTTCGAGTATTTTGCTGTGCTGTGCATTTCCTGAAGAGCAGTTAATTGTCACCAAGTTCTAGCCAGAGAAAACAAAAACATAACCACATAATTAAAAAATTACTTCAGACCCAGTCCTAGCCCAGGTCCGGTGAGTGTGTGGGAGAGCTTCCTGCTACCCTGTACCAGTGGGACCAGTCCCAGCCCAGACACAGCGTGGGCCAGACCCTCTCCCACCCCCTTGGGCCGCCCCCCACCA